CCCCGGACCGGCCCCAGGTAAGGGGAACTTGCTGACCCCTGATATAAATTCATGCACAAGCAAGGAGGAGGAGGAGGATCAGCCTCTATCTCTGCCGCCACTGCCTCTGGCAAGAAGGGAGGATGGAGGAGGTCTGAGCTGGGTCTGGCAAGTAGGTCACCTACCTGCTATCTGCAAAGCACTTTCTCCCCCTCTTCACTGACACTACACACATACACACACCTGGCTTTTACCTGAAGGGACTCGTTAGCCATCTGCCTCAGCTTCCCACCAAGTGCCATCCTGTTTCCTCCTCTGCTTCTTCCACTTTTCCTAGGGCCCAGGTGGAGTTGGAGGGAGGCCTTGCCATGCCGGATCTCTTTGGTTAAGACCCCGCACGGCCACGGCTCACCCCCAGGAGGAGACATCCTAGCAAAGGGCGCTGAAGAAGGCGGAGTCTGGGGCTGGGGAAGGGCTGCAGCCCAGGTGGGCCGCTCAGGGCCAGCTCCAGTTGCTGGCAGCACTTCCTGCCCAGCTGCCATCTTGGCTGCCATCTTGGCGGAGGAGGAGGAGGAGGAGGAGGAGGAGGAGGAGGAGGCACGACTCATGTCATGTGAGGGAAGGAGCCAAGCTCAGCTGACTATTTCTGCCTTGTTCCGGGCACATTTTGTCAATCTCCAAAACAAAGCAAGAATCTGGGATTTGTGGGTTAAAAATGCTCAGCCGAGTCAGGACATTTTCTTAGACCCTCCAATCTGGGATTGTCCCAGTTTTCTGGGATGTATGGTAAGATCAGATGCAAATCATATTTGAAGACTACAGCCATCAATGTGTAATTGTTTAATTGTTTAAGGACAAAGCTAGTGATAGACCCATTTACAACAATCAAGACTACTTAAGAATATATTTTACTATATTATTATTGCATATAAGAATTGTTGACTAGATTTAATTAGGCAATAATATACAAAGATAAAGTTTATTGTCATTAAAAAGATAATCTCTGATCTGTTCATTAAGCAACTGAATGTTATTCTGCCTACATTTCACAAAATGCATCAGTCCAAATGCACCCAAACCAGTCCAACCACTTACATGATGAAGACATTTAAAACCAGAAAATCAACAAGAAAGCTGTATTGTGTAATATTTGACTTTTCACCTTCAGTTATTTCACATTCATTTCTAAATGGATGTGCAGTGGCGTAGTGGTTTGAGTGCTGGACTATGACTCTGGTTCCAGGGTTCAATTCACTGCTTGGCCATGGAAACCCAGTGATCCTGAAAAAATCACATTTTCTCAATCTCTGAAAGAGGTAAAGGCAAACCCCTTCTGACAAAATCTTACCAAGTCAGTCCTATGATAGATTTGCCTTAGGGTTGCCAAAAGTCAGAAGACAGTTTGAAGGCAGACAATAAAAACATTACCATTCTCTGAGGCTGTGACTACAGCTCTTTGGTACTTCCTCTCAAAGGAGCACCAGAGGGTAGAGGGGG